CGGGTCAAGTCCACCTCCTCGACGCGCTGCAGCCCGGGTCGAATTCTGGCCAAAAACACGGAACAAGTCCCATAAATTGACCTAACCTAACCCCCGCGCGCCCAAGGGGCTCTTTTAGTGGCCATTTTCCGTGTTTCGGGCCAAGAGCCGACCCGGGCTGCAGCGCGTCGAGGAGGTGGACTTGACCCGTCCTGCACGCGTGCAATACGGGAGACCAAGCCTCGTAAAGCAGGACCGAGTTCTGAACCTTCCGCTGATGAGTGGAGCCGACAGCTGAGTGGTGAGCGCGCTGGGGTGTGCGGTCCGGAAACCGTCGGCCTGGGGATCGAATCCTGTTGGGGTTGAACTTTTTTTCGGGACCTGCTGAGTAGGTGGTGAAGTCGACCTCCTTACCTTGCTGCAGACCTAGTCGGATTCACACTGACATTGTGTCAGGAGTGTCAATTTTCTTGCGCTTTGAACTTGACCTTGAAGAAAAACTTAAATAAATCAAGGGGATTCGATCCCCAGTCCGACGGTGTCCGGACCACACACCAGCGCGCTCGCCACTCGGCTGTCAGCTTCTCCTCGCCATGGACAGGTCAGAACTCGGTCCTGCTTTACGGGTCTTGGTCTCTCGTATTGCACGCGTGCAGGCCGGGTCAAGTCCACCTCCTTTCCGTTAACAAGTGGAGCCGACAGCCGAGTGGCGAGCGCGCTAGGTCTCGGTGCAAACGACATCCTCAGCCTAGGGGTCGGGTCCTGGTCGGGGCGAACCTTTTCTTCTTTTTTTTGCAGGCGGAAAGGGGGGGGGGCTGCTGAGTAGGCGGTCAAGTCCACCTCCCCACGTCGGCTGGCCTTTTGTCTTAACCCTTGGTCCCCGCGCCGCAAACTAATAAATATGAAAAAATGAACCTTGGACAGTATTCGAACTGACAACCATCCGCGTCCCGAGCGCGCACTCTACCAACTGAACCAATGATTAGGATTTTGCATAGGTGAAGCTTATCTCCGCTGTGGCTCTCATTCCGAGACATATGGCGGGCAGAGGGGAAAGGGTTCCGTCGACTAGATTCGAACCAGCGACTGTTTGCGTACAGGCCTATTACATCAGGTGTCGCACGGCTGTAAAGTCATGGCCAGCGGAGCGCGAAAATTATCACCCGGCCGAGATTCGAAACAGTGACCAGGTTCATACCGGGCCCGGACGCTACCGACTTAGCCACGACGGAACGATACAGACGGAGCACTACTTTTAGCGGCATGTTGATCTGAGCTGTGACCGACGCGCCCGAAGACACTTGGCCAGCAAAGCAGGGAAAAATGACCGCGGATGGGATTCGAACTAGCGACCACCCGCACGATCCGCCAACGATCACGCTTTAACACGCTCGGCTACCAGCTTGCTCCTACGGAGCCGAGGTCTAAGCTCGGCCATGCCTAACGGGAGACAAAAAGCGACAAAGAAAAAATTTGCCCCGCCCGGGAGTTGATCTTAGGGCCGACAATTTTGGTTTGGATGAAGCTACATGCGGTCATGTCGACTGTAGCTACAACTGTTTAGCTACAAAAGGGGCGTGGCGTGTGGCTGGTGGCGTCGGACATCGTATGTTGCCCCACTTGTGACCACATTTTTGTGTCCATTAACAGGGACGTGTCTACTATTACCACTTGTTGCCGCGACACGAGTTGTCGCTTGGACGCCTGCGAGGTAGGCCACGGCTTCTCAGTAAGGCGTCTATCGTGACGGGGGCTTTCGGTTGAGGCTCCTGTAGACCCCAGGCTCATACATCCTTTCTAAAGCTAAGAAGTGACGCCGTGTCAATCTAGGCGTGGGTCGATGATTGTCGCTGAAAACGCCTGGAGGGTAGGCAATGCTTTACTTAATCGGGCCCCGCGGCCCCCTGTCCCTCCGAGCGCTTGGACAAGGCGAGAGCTTCGGCGAGGCATTGATATCTTTCGTTTTCGCTTTAGTTCTTAGCGCTGTTTACTTCTGGTTGATATTCTAGCATTGGCGGAAGTAATGAATTCGTCTATAGACGGTTCAGTTTAAGCTGTTTCAGGCGCTGTCGGCTGTAGCTACAATCGTGGAGCTACAATCAGGGACGTCAAAATTACACCCACCACCAAGACCACGAAAGTGCGGGCGCGCGGATTCTTACCGACGTCATGGTCGCCCTGGTGACGTCCCAGTAGCCGCCCACAGTCACCCTCAGCGCCGAGGTCGCTACCACCTCCCGGAACAAGTTGACCTGCACAGACAGAGCGTTGTGTCGTTAAGTCTGAGCTGAACACCGCTACCGCTGCACACACCCGAAGCTCACCTCCACCCGAGCTGCGTCTGGCACGCACAAACCCACGAACGTCTCTAGCGGGTACAGGAAGTCCTTGCCGACCTGCGGCACCGATAAGGCGACAAAAAATTAGGTGGATTGCAAATTTTAGTCGGAAGTTTCACAAACAAGCGTTTTAAA